CGTAAAGGTAGGTTTTATTGTAATAACTTAAAGGTAGAAAATAAACAAGAAGAACGTGTGAAGAGCTAATACTAGGGTCCTAGTGACCCTTTATATAGTAGCTCTTCACCTAGCGTGACTCATACTTATGCGTCACGCGAACCTTGTGACTCATAGCTATGAGTCATGCGAAATCCCTCAGCCAACTCCTATGAGTCGCTGCGCAACATACCTAACCAATCAAAACATAATAACCAAGTCAGGTGCGCAACTCGCGTTACCTGAGTGAAACCCATGACTCATAATCTGAGTCATGTGCGAAAATCATAACATCGTGTGACTCACAAGCGTGAGTCACGAACAAGTAAACATAATATCCTATGGCGCACTAATGTGCGTCATGTGAAATCCCCTCATACCTATAGCTCGGAATTCCGAGCTATGTGAAATCTGCCTTCCTTAGTCACAGTTTGTGACACCCTAGCTGTACGGTGACAAGCTTGTGAAACTCGGATGGGCGCCCTGGGTTAAGGACGCTCAGCATCTGAACACCGGCTAGCCGGTACACCCTCTCGGTGTGCCTGTGGTCGCGGATTTTGAAGAGGGCTATCATTTTCCCTGGGAGACGCCCAGGTAGCGCACCATATATTTGCTCCCTTGCTGCTTGTACCCAAACCCAATCATTGCAACTCGCCTGGTTCCGGAAGAGTTCGGCGCCGGTAGATCGTGCCCGCTGGATGTCGTAAACGTCCGTTTCCTAAAAGGCCTGGACAGGTATTTCAAGTTGCTTTCGTAGCTCAAAGAGGAATAGTTTAAGTTCAGCTGGATCTTCGGGAAGCCGGCATTCTGTGGTGAGACTTTGTTGGCGGTATCAAATAATTTGGCGACACATGCTATCGCATGAGATGCCTAAGACCTGGCAAAAATCATCCAGGCTCGCAACATGCTGACGATGTCCCTTGAGAATCCTATGGCGTGTGGCGTCGCCCTCTTGGCTTTCATGATTTTGAACTGGATAGTCTAGACGATTCACCAGAACACACGGAACGTCTGAGGTCAGGGAGCATGGGCAGTCCATGTATGTCATCTCCCGTCTCTCTTAGTCTGGATGATTCACAGTCGGGGCAGGTGACAGCTATAGATGGACAGCAGGAAGGGAATTTTGATTGAGAGAGAGGAGGGAACAGGTGGGTGGGACCAGGATCGAGAGTGGGCTTGACGGGGGGCATATGGGTACCGGCCGTGCTGGCGGGATCGCAAGCTTCAATAGCGCCTAGTGTACTCAATAGATTAAAATGGCGGGCCAATGTGACGCCGTACGATAGTAAATAGAGTATTTGCAGTACATATCGAGACCAAATTGTAAACAGATGTGGTTACCGAAAGTCCCAGAACATATGGAGTACGTTCCAATTATGGCTAGAAAATCCCAACAACGTCAATTGAAAGTCTGAAATCAGGATGGAAGAGGTGGGTAATGTAGGACTCGGGGCACATGGGAGTAGTTCTTCGAAGTCATGAGACACAGGAGCAGGGACAGGAACGTAGGAGGAGGATAGCGGACGAGACATGAGGTGGGAGGCAAGCGATATAGATTAAGTCCTTCAAACAGAACTGGCTTTACACGGACAGGATTGGAACGTGGGGGGAGGATTGATGAGCTTCACCGCGCGAGGCAGAAGCAGCAGAGATTCTCCGGACGCAAAGCAGGCGTGCCCGGAGGGCCAAAACACCGGGCGGGACTTGCAGGGGCGTCAGGACAGTGGGCAGGAGGTCCAGAGGTGTCTGGACGGCGGCCGGGAGTAGTAAGGGTGTGAGGACGCCAGGCAGGAGTAGTAGGGGCGTCGGGACGCTAGGGGAGAAAGGGCATGGATTGCCAGGATGCCCGGAACCAAGCTAGCAAGGGTCACAACGCAGGGGCGTTGGAGTGCTGTATGTCCGGTGAGCGTCAGGATGCAGGAGGGTGCGGATGCAAACGTCAGGATGCAAGAACGGATTTAGCCGACTTCCTGATTAATGGTTTGTGTCCTGTACATCCTGTGCGTCTGATGCAGAGGTCGCACAGGACGGAAGACTAAATTTTTGCTGATGTACTCTCTTCCACCCTGCTGGGCTTGTTCGCTGGCTTGGCTACTAGTTCACTCCTAGTCTGGAGACCTCCCCTCACTTTGTGAAACGGTTGGCGCTCACCCAGGGGGCTTTTGCTATCGTAAGCCAACTCTCTCCTCCCGGCAAAGGCCTGCCTCCGTATCTTAACAGAAGGCTGGCTGTGGGACCCATCCTTCCTATTCTCACCTCCAGGGCAGACCTGTTGGTGCCCAATGCTTCTGCACTTCACAAAATAGAGGTTTTTTGGAACCGTGTCCTTTGCTGGGTGACCAGCTGCTTCCACTCCACCCCTACCTTGATCGTCTCCTGCCAGCCCAGCATCCCCTGTCTGGTAGTCCTCCTTCCCCACAAACGCCGAATGGCAGCCTTAAGGATGGCCTGCTCACCTCCCGAGATAAACCCGGCCTCGGCCAGTCTCCCCCTGTCCTTCCACTCACCATCAGCAACAAGGGCCCCGGACTCTAACCAGGCCCTGAGCGTTGGGCTAAAGGGTAACGGCTACCCCCTCCTCTGGAAAACCCCCAGGCCCTCTCCTGCCGTGCAATTCCATCTTCCTATTGATGGCATAGCTCACTCCCTGGCTTGCATCACCACAGCGGGCGCCCTTCCGGGCCTGAACAGACACCTGGTCCCCAGGGCAGTCAACACTCTCTCTTCCTCACCGAAGTACTCTCTACTGAGAACCACCACTCGGTCCCTCCTCTCTCAGGACTGGGCTTTGTAGCCTCCCCCCCCTCTATACTATCCCTATCCTCCTCCGAAGGCCCTGCACCCCTTCATAGGGCTGGACCGCTTCCTAGCCGGAAGAATACATCAAATGAGAGCCGGAAAGAGCTATCTGGCTGCACACACCCCCTGGGACGATCCAGACAAGCCCACCACCTGCTCTGCCTGTGGCCTCAAGCCAGAGACCATGCAACACACTATTCTTTACTATCCCTCTAAAGCCCCCTCGAGACTGCTCCATATCCTGGGAGTAGATTCTCTGGGCGCTGAGGCTCCACTCTGGACCAATAAGGACCTCTTACGGGGCCTGGCACGATACATTTCTGAGACCAAAACCAACTTGCCCCCCGCAATGGGTGGGGTATGGGTGTCGCCCAGTACCAACCTTGTTTCAGATTGAAGTGGCTGTTCTTTTTGTTATCTTTCCTAGCTTTTACTTGACTTTCCGTGCTTTGTGCTTCCTTCATGTGGGGGGAGGCTTGTCTTTCCTTTTGTGATCAGTCACCCTGGCGGGTGCGGTGGGTTGTATTACTCACAGGCCAGGGTTTTTGGTAGAGAGATATTTCTCTGTTGTTTGTTGCTTTTGATATTAAGGTTTTGTTTTTGCCATAGCTAGTGCTCCATGCAGGTTCCTGTACCTTCACAAAGAATATATGAGTTAAACAAAAAAAAAAAGAAATCTCTAGCTTTAAATCTATGATCAGCGACCGGAGAAGAGATCTTATCAATATATTCCTTCTAGTTTACTTCTATCTTTACGAGCCTTCTTGACTATCTCCGAGACAGAAGAGTACAGCGCCTAGTATATACTCGCTTGACTTTAGAGTTACCAACCCCCTAACAAGATACCCAAGCGCTGGAGAGGGTATGGCAAAGTGTGGAGGGGTACTAGAGAGTGCATGGTAGTATAGCACAGGAGCCCAAGGAGAGTGAGTGTGAGGGAGCAGCAGAAAGGTAAGAGTAAGGAAAAGCGTGGCAAAGGGTACACAGTGGAAGGGCAAGTGGGTTCCTTTTCTTGGTTAGCTTTTCTGTTCCGGTTTGTACCTGGGAGATGTACCTGTGTGGGGTGTGGAGACTTTCCGGTTTGTGGTTGATATAAACTTCTGGATTTCCATAAGTTAATGTTAGTTAGTTAAGTGTGTGATAGTTAGAGTAGTGGGTAAGAGAGAGAGAGAAAAGTTTTTTCTGTGAGTTGCGCAATCCTTTTTGGTGAATAAACTTGGTGTTTTGTTTCATAACCAGTCACTCGGCTGGCCCTCCTATTGGCTCATTGCCATTGCCTCCGCCGTTTGACCCCTTTTTTCAAAAAAGCAGGGGTCAGGGTGCCAGTGGGTATTATCAGTACATCCTGATTAACTGTTTGCGTCCTGTCCATCCTGTGTGTCTGACGTACAGGATGTACAGAACACGAGTTGAGATCTTTCCTGATATATATCCTGCCCTGAGCCAATTACTGGCACTGGCCTGAGACTGGGGCCAAAGCCTACTACTACATTTAGGGCCCTGGAGTCCTGGTAAAAAGCTCTAGTCACTAATCAATCAATTAACCAATCATCATAGACCCCTATCTGGTATATGGCTTGGTCCTACCAGTTCTGCATCTGGCTGTAACCTCTATTGCATTTGAATTGTGAATAGCAAATCCTGCATGAAATAAAACTGAACCGAGAAGGAGTACAAAGATAGTATTAAATAGAGTTTAATATAGGCATGATTTATTTATTGACAGGGTTACTATCAATTTATTCTAGTACAATTATGGTCCTTAGGTTTCAGATGAAAAAATCTGTCTCAAAATAACTCTGACCCCGATTACAGGATGCATTACATTTTGCAATCCCGCTGGTTGACGTTATAGACTGTATTGACCACACCAAAAACTTTGCCCCGTGAGATGCCTTGAACTATCCACTAATTGAAATGTAACATGTGAGTTCTATTCCTATCCGTAGCGCAGCGGTTCCCCTATTTTCAAAATTCATACTAGTATAATGGTCTCCGACGTTTTCTCAGATTAATTCTCTCTAACAACCCTGGTGTAGCTGAAGATTCACCCAGGTCGAATACCACTACAAATTATTTGGTGCACGCCAGAGGCGTCATCCACGTTCTGGAAATTAGTAAGTATTTCTCTTCGACGATTCAGTGTAGTCACGAGTTATCACGATATTCAAAACAAAATGGGGCGTAGCCACATCTCCCTCGGTTTTCCATCCAACGTGATTTTACAAACTGTGAGCAGAAAGAGAATTACGCAGGTACCCAGTTATTTGTTCTCCAAGTTGACAAATTGCACGCGAGAATAAACCCCATTCCCCCAATGAATCTGCTGTTCTCCGGAACACAAGTAAAGCATGCTTAGACTAGTTACTGTCCTCCGCCTCCCCCCCCACCTCAGTCTTGATGCAGTTCGCGAACTCCCTGTACGCATGTGTCACTTCAGTTGGATCACCCTTGAGGTAGCCCTGCTCAAAACCCTCGCCATATTCTGTGAAGACTTTCACAAACTGTTCGAATAGGCGGTGAAACTTGTCGGTGACGGTTTTCTCCTTTGAGGCTATAATCGTAGCGTGCATGTTTATCATGGTCATCGTTTCTTGGTGGCCTGTTCTAGTTAGTATAGCCACTTTAAAAAATGGTAGGAGATAGTAACATGTACTCACGAATCTTCGGCACAACATAAGGGAGAAGCCCGTAGAGTCTCGTAAAAGTTGTTAAATCGATTCTCTCGCCGTCAGTATAGAGTCTGGCATCGGCGATGGCATCTCCGCAGTCGGCGCACAAATTGCCCTCGCCAATAATCTCCAAATCAGCAGGCGTGGCGGTGTCGAGAATATCCCTCTTGAAGGTGCTGATGAAACGGTTCCGTAATGGCTTGTAGTAATCTTGGCAAAAGGTCAGGTCCCGGACACGGTGTTCTAAGGAGGCCTGATGTGCTCGTATTGACATAATGTCTTTGTCGAATGACTGGAAGAGCTCCGTAAGTGCCTCGATACGTGCAGGCATATCGGCGGGGTGACCACGGCGGGGTCTACGGGTGGCGGAATCTCCCTCTTCCAACGCAGTATGGTGGCCCACCTTGGGGAGAATTTGTCGGACTTCGTGTTCAGCTACCGGCCGCATTCCCACTTCATCCCCAATGCCCGGTGTTGTGACTATTCGATCCGCGTGTTCCGTATCATTCTGACTTTCCGGAGAAAGCGGTGGAGGGCCGGTCTTCGTTCCCGCCCTTCTGCCGTGGGCCGGGGTGGCCTTTTTCCCCTTAGGGTCAAGTGCCGGTGCTTTGGATTGTTTCTGGGGATCCTTCGATATTCCTGATGTGGGAGCCATCGTGTTTGTGGTGGGTGGTGGAGTGGACGGAGGGTTGGCGAGGTAGAAAGGTGTTGGTTGCTTCTCCTTGAAAGTGCGGTTCTCATCTCTCTTCCAATTCCAGGGTGGGTGGGGCCGCCTATGTAACCCAGAGCCCCCACGACCCATCGCCAAGGCAAGCGTCCACGTTGCTGACTAACTCGTAAAACCAGCTGGCATCGAGACTCAGGGCCCGCCCGGCCATCCCTTCACTTATTAGGGCCTGTTCGGTGGGAACGGAACCGTTCCGTTCCCCCATACAAACGACCGTTTCCTTCAGTTCTGAAGATGCCAAGACAACCATTCCCCAGCAAAAATCATCAACGAACGGAACGGTCGACCCGCCCACCGTTCCTGCCGAACAGGCCCTTAGTTTAATGCACCTTGACTGCTTTTACTAAGCGTGAAATGTGGTTCCCCAATGCTTGTTTAGGTGAGACGGTTGCATCCATTATCTTCTAGACCACAAGGGCGTCCCCCCCATTGGCGAATAGCGCCTGCTTTCGGCTGTGCGTCTTTGCGGTTCTTGTAACGAATAGCCGTGTTGTTTGATAACTCGGAAAAGGTCCGTGAGAAGTTTTATTGTTCTAGGTTTTGTTTTTCGTTAAGGAATGAATGTAATTTGACTATAGAGACAAGATAACAGAATGGAAGCGTGGACGAGAAAAAAGCTGATACTCATAAAAACAAGGTAAGGAAAAAAGGTCCTGCTTTTATCCCACGAAGAATGTGTGACGAGGCGGAACTGGGAAAACCCTTCCTCCACACGATACAGAGCAACCAGGAGTCAGTAACAAGAGTGTCGCAGATACCCTTGATGATGCAAGAAAGACAGGAACTAATGCACGATAGAAACGAAACCAAATATGAGTCGATGGCTTTGGTCACAGGTTTCAATACTAGGAGCCTGGGAGATAGCCTTGTGCTTGAAAATCAACGAAGGGATGCACTCCCTTAGCCCAACCTTGTCTAACAAAACATGAGACCGCGAAAATGGTCTCTCAAATACAGGAGGTCATGGGGTTGCTGGAGTCGTCCATCATTACACAGATATCTAGAAGATACACGTTATGCTCTTACACGTTATGTTCTCAAACTACTAAGCTCTCCCGCTCCTTTCAGCATGCCATAGCGGCTCCTGGAGGCTCCAGGATCGGCTACTCTCTGTCATTCAGTTCATTCGACACGAATTGGCACTTTTATGCCTAGATATTTTGAGCCTGTTCCACCTCTCTCACCCCCATTCCCTTAGCTACTAAACTGTATCGTTTTCCACTCCGCCATCATCTCTCTTAGAATTTGCTTTTACCCTAATGTTCCTGCTCCTCCGTGATTTCTGCCAGTTCTCCCTGGTTCTCCTGAGGTGACCAGAGCTTTGGAGGGCCTTATCATACAAGTTGCACATCTGATGCTCCTTGGTCACTCTAGCCACTGTTACTACACTTACTGGTCTTCTCACCCTTACTTTTCTCAATGACTTCATGAACATAGATATCTTGTTAGCAGCTATGCTGGGAGATACGGACACCTACACTTGGGGCATTTATGGTGTTTGAGGTGGCTGTGTTCAGGGCAGTCCTGTTTAGGGTGTTGGCATATCTGTTCTCCTTCTTAGCTAGCTTTTCTTCTCTCTTCAGATAGTATTATCAATCATATCTTCTCCACCTCTGTCACTGTCCACATTCCACATCACAACATATCTCACAAATATGAGGTCATTCAGAACCTCTCCGGCTCAGTACAGAGCGAGACACCGTATTGGTACCACCCTGTTTCCCGCTACTTCCCGCCAGTCCCGAGAGTTTTCCCGTGACATTAAGGACCCCGGAGTGGATTTTTCCCCAGTCTGATATTTAGAACCGTAGAAAGGGAGTGGTGGAATATGATGCACAGCACATACAACGTGTACCAGTGGCATTGCAAAATGTAATGCCTTATATAATCAGGGTACCAGCACTTAGACCTGAATTTCTAGTTTCTGAAGATCAAGAGTTCAAGTCTAGTTCATTTTTTTTTTTTCATAATTTTTAAATTTTATATAGTATGATATCAAACTATTGTATCATGATGCTCATAGAAAAAAAAAGAAATCTAAAGTATGATATAGACAAAATATTAGAAGATTATTACATACCTTTCTATAACTTTCTTCTGACCTATTCTACTTCGTTAATTCCATATATGCAACTGAAACAACTCATACAGTTCAGTAAATTGTTACAAACTATGACTAGGCAAGGCAGATTTTACATAGCTCGGGATTCCAGGCTATAGGGATGTTGGGATTTCACAGGGCGCATACTAGTACACCTTAGGTTATTATGTTTACCTATTTATAACTCGCAGTTATGAGTTACATAATGTTATGATTTTCGCAGATGACTTAAGTTACGAGTCATGGGTTTCACTCAGGTGACATGAGTTTCTCACCTGATTTGGTGATTATATTTTCATTAGTTTGAGGTATGTTGCACAGCGACTCATAGGAGTCAGCTGACGAATTGCGGATGACTCACAGCAGTGAGTCATAAAGGATTACGTAAGATGAGGTATGAGTCCTGCTGAGTTAAGAGTGACTATAGAAAGGGTCACTAGGACCCCAAGTATCAGCTACTCACACAATCTTCTAAGTTATTTCCTACAGTGATTGTTTCATAGTATACCCTCTTTACACTCTCTACTCTACTTTAAGCGCGAGAACTATTTCTCCTCCCACTATATCAGATTAAGTCCTGAGGGAGGACTTAAGAAGGGTAAGGAAATAGGCACAATAGGATAGAAGTTAAAGGACATGACAGTCAGCATTGCATAGGCAACAGCTGAAGAACTATTCTCCTTGCGGCAAGATAAGAATCGTTACCTATAACACACTACTGCCTGGTAGAATTGTTAATATTAGAACGTGTCTACCACATGATACTTGACGATTAAGACAAGGTGTCTTGCATATGTGACACAGAAGGGGACCTCAATATACAAGACGAAAGTTCAGGACTAGAAGAAATTCATGAGGCTTTAAGACAAGCAAGCCAACAATCTACTAGGGCAGCAAGTTAGGTCACACCATATCCGGTCACACCTACACCCGCAGGTGAGGAACCCAATACTCCAAGATCCGAAAGAATATCTGGACTGGTACCACTAGGAGGCCCTCTGCCTGGGGGACCAGTGTTTCCAGCGATGATTGAAAAGGATCAAGTCTAATAAATCATACGAGAGGCCCAGAGAAGAGGAGGGCAAATGCCCAAGATCATGACCCCCCCAAGATACAATGGCGAAAGACACAAACTACAAGGATTTGTGGTCCAGCTCCTCACCTCCTGCAATGCAGTAGCAAGGACCTAGGGAAACGACACAGACAAAATATGATATACCCTAATACTGCTAGAAGGAGTAGCATTACAATGGGTAATGCCTATAGTGGTGGCACAAACAGAGGGACCATGGATGGATTGAAACAGTTTTGAGAGTCAATTTGAGAACCAGTTTACAGAGTTGGACCTAAGTGAATCTGCATGCAACAAACTGGAAGTCATTAAACCAGGAGAAAGGAATGGTGCTGACTACTAGTACAAGTTCAGACTGCTTCTGTTTGACGTGGAATGAAATGAAGCCTCAGCCATGAGGTGTTTCATGAATGGACAGAAAACGGTATTCTAAGAAGCCTAAAGATTCAGCGAGGAAAGATTTGCAACCACCCAAGCCATGGTACATTGGGCTATATGTGAGGAAATGCAATTCAGTCAACTGGATTGGATTTAGGAACACTAGTATAACATGGAGACTGTGATGAATACGAAAAGCTCAGGTTCTTCAATGAATTAAAATGGAACATTGAGAACCCCGCCCAAGGAGGTGATGCGATGGGCCTGGACACTAGCTAAAGAAGACAATCACTTAATCTTGCCAAGGAAGAACAAATACCAAGACAAAAGAATAATCTGTACCTAAAATGTGGAACTGCAGGACAAATAATATAGGCTTGCCGACGCAACACCAATCTAGCAAACGCGGAATGCAAGGAATCTCATGGTTTCCTAAAACAGTTTCAACCCCAAAGCAACTTGAGAGAAATCAAGATTGAAGATGCGTATGAAGAGGTGGAAAAAGATGAAGGTCCATAGTATTAGATGGTCTGTAGGACCTACTGAATGACAAACCCATCGCCCGAGCCAACTACTTCACTCTTTTAAGTAAAGATACAAAAACGAATAACAATGATCACCTCATGATCTGAACAAAAATATATAACTAGAAAAAACAAGAGATTACAATACACCTGATACTCGATTCAGGAGCTACAGAAGATTTTATTGATAAAGAAGTCTGTCCGAAATATCAATTACAGACCAAGCAAGCCTAGAAGGAAAGGCAGATGCCCCTGATGGATGGAAATCCCAGTGAAATGGGGCCTATTTTCCATAGCATGCAAGTACCTATAGAAATTGGAAACCACAGGGAAGTGGCAACTTTCCAAGTGTCAAATCTGAAACAGCATGCGATTATCCTTGGTATGCCATGGTTAAGACAATGGAACCCAATACTCCACTGGCAAGAGGAGAAAGTCATTTTTGCTCGCGAACGATATACGACATGGTGGCTTAACAGTTTGCAAGTAATATGTGCCACCACAGAAGAAGAAGGAACCAACGAGAACTTAATTGCTCGGTTTGCCAAGGTTTATGCAAGAAAGAATCAAGGGATCAAAGTTCAAAAGATACTCCCAGAGGCTAAGATACCCATGAAAGGGTCCAAGAAGGCAGCAGGAGATGAGCTGTATGTGTAACCAGAACTGGTGCACGGTTAGTTTTAGTGTGTTTTCTCTTTTGTTTTAAGTATTGGGTGATACTTAGTTTGTTTTATGTTTTGTTTTAAGTATCGGGTGATACTTAGTTTGTTTTATGTTTTGTTTTAAGTATCAGTTGATACTTGGTTATTTTTATGCTTTGATTGAGTAAGAACATGAGTGAGAATCCATGATCGCACTCAAGAAATATGTACTTAAAAAGACTGCCGTCTTCCACTATGGAAACGGCAGACTTCGACAGATAGCATTTTAATATACTCGGTTGAACCGTTATCTTTATTCTCCTATTATACCACCGAAGCCTCCCTTAGTGAGCCTAGAG